TAACTCAGCAAATGTTTTATAGATTGATATTTTTAAGCTTAATGTTCTGGTACGTGACTGAGTGTAAGAGATTATTTTACAGCACTAAAAACATGTCAAAGTAGCCTGTGGGATTAAGAGGAGGGGGGGGGAAAAAGCAGCTGTGATATGTGACTTGCCATAATCAAAGCATGTCCAGAATCACAGAATGTTAGGGGTTGTAATGCAGTCATTAGGGACTTGCACATTTCATTACACCAAAAAAAAAAAAAAATCTTCATGATATATTGCCATTTAAGTCTCAGTAGCTACATCCTTTTTTTTTTTTTCTTTCTTTTGCAGCATTTTTTTTCCTTTCTTTCTTGGGCTGTTGACAAGAGAGTTAGCATATGTACTCCCAAGTTACTGTGCTGGCTTTGAATGTTTTGGTAAACCTGTAGAAAAGGAGTTAATGTCATCATCCGTTCCAGTTTTACCAGTAAACACTGTCCATGTCCATGGAAATGGAGGACTATCATAATAAGACTGTGAAATTTGAATAGGCTGTGGTAAACAGTCTGGTTTGCAGAATAACTGATCTTACATCATCAGCCCTACCAGTCCTGCACACTATATTTCAAGCTCAATTAATGGCACACAAGAGTAAAGGATCGTGGTCAAATTCAAAGAATGATGAAAGCAGTTCTCCGTGATTCTGGTGCATTACTGTGGGAAAGTATGCAGAAGCATTTTGCCAAAGATTGGGTTATACTTGAAAAGCAAGCAAGGAGGTACATATTCTTAAAAAAAAAAAAAAAATCTAACTAAACTGGATTTTTGTTTTGTTTTCTTTTCTGAGTTCTAGCAACTGTATTTACAATACTCTAAGCTTGGTATTAGAAAAATGGGTTAAACAAGTCTCTTAGAAACAGGAGAAACTACTTAAATTAATAGTTTTTGTATTCATGTGAAAGTATCAATAAGCTTCTGCATGTATCTTGTCTTGCAGGAAGATAGGATATGAAGAGCAATATCAAACTTTTGTGAAATGGTATGCATATAATCAGCTGTAGGAATTGAAAAGGGATTTTTTGTATATGTATTTTATGAATTGAAAGAGTTAAATATCTGTGGTGGAAAAATATAGTCAAAACTTGGGTCTTTCTTGATGAATTTGTCCCTTAAACTGTAAGATTGTATATAGAATTAATTTTTGTGCCCCTTTAAAGAACCAAGAAATAATAGTGATTTCTAGGGATATTGACAAACTATTGCAGCAGTAAAACTGAATTTCATAAAATGTTTTTAAACATGCATTAATCCCTTTAAAAGCTAGTGATCTACTTAAGATATTTCTGTAGGAGATTTGCAAATAAATGCTTTTAATTTTGTTCCCTCAGACTTTCTTGGTTTCTTATTTCTGATTGCATTTCACAGTCCTACAGTCTCCCTCGGGTAACTGTTGCAGTCATTGAAAGAATGTTTCCTTCTGAAAATCAGATGTGTTCACTTTCTTTGCGGGTAGTATAGCAGTCATTTTTCCACATGGGATAATACTTTTGGAACAGCTGATGGAAGTGAGGCTTCCTTTTTGCACAGCCTGTGTCCACATAATACTCTAGGATAGTTAGTTTCTACATTTCTGATTAACTTTTGGCATACATAGGACAGCGCAGTCAATTGTGCTGGGTTTGTTATTCAAAAAAGTAACATCCCCCCCCCCGCCCCTAGAAAACACATGACTCTCTCAGTTTTGAAACAAACTTCCATGTAGTCCCAAACAGCTACCTTAACTTCAAATCAAAGTGAAGGGGTTAATACAAATACTTTTAATAAGAAACCTTTAGTTATAATTAAGTGAATTTAAAGATTTATTTAGATGTTTGGAGGTTTTTTAGAGCTTTCTCTGTGTAAGTCCCTGTATTCAGTTTGTGTTTGTAAATGGAAGGATTCAGAATGTTAGTGAGGTCAGGACTTGGGTTACCTGTACAGATGATCCCTCTTAAGGATACAGACACCTTGTGCCTTAAATATGGCAACAGTCCTCTGTGGTACTAGTGCATGATCTTGTCTGTTTGGGATGCATATGACCAGTGATATATTCCACAAAAGTGTTTGAGACACATCTGAATCAGGACCAGTGATTTAAGCGTACTGCTGCATTATTGTACCAAAAGGGTACTAGGTGAAGTTTTAAATCAAGATGAGAATTATGATTAAAACTTTGAGAATTTTCTTCTGGATCACTAATTGTATATAAAATATTGGAAAAAATATATTACTCCTAGGGGCTTTTTAGTGTCTTAGAAGCTATGTATAGATTTGCAGCCTCAGTGGATTCTGCCTGATTTTTCTATCTTGGATGTTAGGTTTTCCTTTAAGTTCTAACACTAACCATGGAAAAAATTACAAAACTTTTGCTCTTGAGTACTGGCATGATTTTTCAGTTACCAGGTTTTTAGTTTGGGGATTGAGGCTATTGATGTCAACCAACTAGTACCACCTCAAGTTATTGTACTTTTTTCATTGTAACTGACTTGTCACTCTAGATATACTAGCCTGTTGCATACCTAGAGATTATGCTACAGCTACTTACAGGTCTGGTTTTATTTTTCAGGCTTACAAAAAGTTACGAGTTGTGTAATAGCAAAGGATAGTGCTCTGTACTAGAGTTTATCATATTCTGCCCACAGAATTAATTGGGATATTTTTAAAATACATGAAAAATGTGGTTTTGTAGTGCTTTAAATAATACTTAACTGCATTGCTAAATGCAACCAGATACTCTATAAAACTAGACAATAAATAACTACAAAGCCAAAGGCCTCATTATCTTTCAGCATTCTTTTGATCTCATCAGATTCCTTGAAGAAATTGACAGCAATCATCCTTGTCTTTTATGCTCAATTTATCAGATCTTTTTATGTTCTTTAGCATTAATGCTGCTTCAACAGTAATGGTTTGTTGCATTTCCTTCCTCTTGACCTTCTATTTCAAGAAAAGGAAAACACGTTCAGTTCTCAGATTTATTCTTCCTTCTATAAAACTTGCTTTCTTACAGGTTTTTAAGACCTATTTCTACATGATGCATATCAAAAATGTTCCAGTTACACTATGGGCTGGCTACCATTGTCAGGGTTAGACTCCATATGGGAGGGAGAGCATTTAAATGTATTTATTACATTGTATTGCTAGTCATAGTATAGATGATTTCGTAGTGTAAAGAGCTTTTTAAAATGCAACCTTTGCCTGACTGAGTCTGCACTTTCAAACTTGCTGAGCCCTGACTTTGGTACTATGTTGTTAAATAAAAACAAATTTTTGATATTTATGCAAAACTTCTTCTATAATACCTGCTTTTATTTGCTAAATAAAGATTTGTCTTACAGACAAAATGAGCAAGGCTATTTCACTTTGACTCTAGAGGACTTCATGTGAAGTGTCTTTCTTTGAGCTACATATGTGTAGATGTGATATTGGTACACTGAATCTATCTCCTTACAAAATCTATGGTGATTCCACACTACATGGGGAGCAAGATTAAACTTCTCAAAGAAATACTAAACCTAGTTAATCCAAATCTACTATTTTAAGTTGGAAAAGTTATTACTAGAGACTCTGCACTCATGTAGTATAGTCATTTTTCTCTGTCTTTTAATCTATGGATTCTCCCAATCATAATGCTGGAAACTGTCTTGGTTTTCTGTATAATTTTATGAAATGTAAAGATCTGATCTATGTATAATCAGTTTAGGCAAAGCTAGCTTAGATCTGTCTTGTGTGATTTGCCCTTCACCTGAGTAATTTACTGCCTAAGCTTTCACTGCTAGTTAGGGTTCCCTACTACTCTCACACCTGGGTTTCCTCACAGAGGAAATAGCTAAGTACCTGAGGAGCTGGAGGAGTGAATCTAAGCCCTGCTTACAGACAGAACCTCTGCTGAAGGTGTCCACTCAAAAGATGGTATCTTACAGCCTGTCAGCTTTGACATATTCAGGTTCTGCTTTCAGTTTACCTGGAGTAATGTTCTTTACCATAAGTATTATGCAAATCCACCTTCTCAGTAATACCAAAGTTCCATACTTCTAGCAGGTAGTACTTCCTTCTGCACCTTTTGGGTAGTAGGGAAATACTTTGGGTTTTCATTGTTTGTTGATATTTTCATGCTATAGCTAAAATTCCCTTGAACATCACCTGGTGGTTTCATAATGTCACCATGTGCTAATAGAGATGCTGAAAACAGAAATTACACCAATCTTTTCTTACTCTTTGCCTTATTTATACTCTGCTTTATCGTTTACTTTTCTCTCACCTTAAGGCAGCAACTAATTTTCATTTAGTCAGCTTTTTTCTGCAGTAATATTTCGTGTGGCATGACTTAATCATTCCATTCTTAATTTTATGAATACAAAGATCTTTCTGTATTCATGGAAAGATTTAATAGTAGATTCCTACAAAGATTTAATAGTAGATTCCTGCACTTTTCTGTACCTCAAAACTTGCATTGCAACCTTAGAATGCTTATTCAAACTAGTATGTTATCATCATTACCAAAAAATCTTATTTCAATTTCTGTTTTACTTAGGTTCTCAGCCTGTGCTTGCCTCTTGTTCATGTCCACACAGACAACTCAAAGTGCCGTTTAAAACTTTGACTTAATCCCATCAAGTAGATATCTTTTTTGTATGGACAGGGTATTTTTTTCATTTGGTTAGCAAAGCTCCAGTAAGTGCTTGCAGTTATTCTCTGTGTACTACCCACTGTTGAAAAAATACTTCAATAGTACACTCTGAGGAGGACTTTTTTTTCTTCACCTTAAACATGTCACTACAAAGATGACAGTATTTGTGATGGATAAAGTATATCTGAAAGAAGTACTTACAATCCGAAAACTTACATAGGTAAATTTGGACATAAGAACAGTATGATTTAATTAGTACTTTCTCTAATTTTCTTTTGTTGTCTGATGTCATTGAAGGAGTAATGATAAAATGGTATTAAGATACTCAACTTACTACTGTTTTTTCTTTTTTCTTGCATAGGCTATCCACTCTGTGGCTTGGCATCATGAAGGAAAACAATTTATTTGTAGTCACTCAGATGGTACCTTGACAATATGGAATGTAAAATCTCCAACCAAACCATTCCAGACAATCACTCCACATGGTAAAGTGAAAATGAATACCCGCTGTGTTTGACAGCTCTTAAAACATAGAGAACTTATTTTTAATAGAAGTGTTTTGCAAAGCCAAGTATTAAAAATGCACTTGCAATGCACGTAAAAAGCTCTGTCATATAAAATTCTGATATATTCTTTTTTTAAAAAAAAAGTCTTTATGAAATAAGAATCCAAATCAGTGCAGTTTTGTCTAAATCTCTGAACTTCAAGCTTGCCTTTCACATAATGACATTGATCTCAAAATTAATTAATGCAGGGCTTGCTTTTTGCTTGACATTACAATCCCATATGTTGTTTAAAATACATATAAGCAAGCATCTGTTTCATGTATAAATGTGTAGGTTACCATCTAAATTCTTGGAAAGGTTTGTAACAGAATAAGACTAGCATCTGGTAAGATGTTCCCACTTCTGAGAAGTCTTGCGTTAATGTTAATCTAGGAAATGAACATTACATGTTGCTGTTCTGTGAAATATGCTGCTGCTTCTCAAAAAAGTTCTATACAAATGCCAGGTTTACATGGTGTGCCTGTGTCTAAGTAATGTCTTAGCAACATATTTACCTCAGGTTCTTAAGTGTGAGTGTAATAGTGAGGATAATCTGTGAGGTTACAGTCATAGTACAACATGCTATAGTTAAGCGTCCTGGTTTAGCTCTGAGCCTCCAGCAAGTCCATGTTTACTGTTCTGGCTGTGGACTAGAGTAGTAAAAGTAAGCTGTAGAATTCTGTATGCTCTTGTAGTGATAAAAAAGCCATGACTGCTACTGTAGTAGTAAAACTAGTTAGGCAAGACTAACTTTATTTCAATATGTTTTGGCCTCTTTCAATAAGCATTTTTATTTTGATTTTGGGCTGCAAATTGAATTTTCTGCGGAACTTTATAGTTGTATCAGATTTTATCAACGTTCAGATAGAAGAGGTGCATATTTACACTGTACTCTTAATTTCTACTGACTTCATGGGAAATTATATCTATAGAAGCTTTGGGTACTAATAGTTGCACAGTAGAGAAAGAACAGGCATTCATGTTTGAATGGATAACACTCAGAATAAACCTCATTTTACTTGTAAATGGACCAATTTTAATTGCAAAATAGTAGACAGGAGATAAGTTTTAAATCTCCCAGTGCTACTTAAAACAAATTTTTGAGGAGGATTATATTTTTGAAAACAAATATTTACAACATTTCAAAAACCAAACAAAAAAAAAACCAACCCAAAAATAACCAACACCCCCACCCCCACCCCACCCCCCGACCTAAATGTTCTAGGCTGGTGTATTGAGAGTTTTAACAAGTCTTTAAAGATATTATTCCAAGCCACACACTGTCAGAGACATAATTGTCAGAGGTGTTGAGTATATGTTTGTATGATTGTTCTACTTTGCAAGTCGCGTAGTGAATTTCATAATTTGTCATCATGTTATGGGACTAAGATTAATATAAGAAAATAATTCACTTTAGGAAAGCAGCTGAAGGACGGAAAGAAGCCAGAACCCTGCAAACCTATCCTTAAGGTGGAATATAAAACAACTAGAGCTGGGTAAGACTTGTTTTGTATGCAAAATCAACATATGTAAAATAAATGCAGGTATCTGGGAATGTACTTTGTTTCACAGTTGTTCGGATACATATCCTGATGGCACTGAGCTATGGTAAAGCAGCTGAGATAGTTTTGCTAAATCAGGTATTGCTGAATAAACTACAAAAACATATGTGAATAAATTACTATGTGCAAACCTCAACTTAAGTAAAGATACTGCTTATGCATTATCTATGTGCTTCTTCCATGATACTAAACTTGTGTGTATTTTTGCTCAAACTTTTGAGAATATTAAAAAATGGCTGATAAAGCGCAGAGGACACTACAGCACAGACCTGAAAAACTAAACTTTGACAAATAGCAGCCTCATGTGAATATTCTGAATTCTGAATATGCGTTCCTCCCCCAAAAATGTTATTGATAGAAGCTTTTCTGGTAGAAGGCAGTCGTTTATGCAGTGAATTGTGCCTAATTTTGCATAGTGAGAATGTAACAAAGCAGTAATTGCAACAAGAGGCTCAGATGGAATTACAGTTATCTTGAGTAGTATGTTTTCTTACTAAGACTGCAATTAGGATTGAAGGATTTCAGGAACTGTGTAGAATTTCTGTTATTTAGGGTTCTGAATTGCTTTAAAGTGTTTGAGTAAAAAGTGCAATATACACGTAAAATATTCATGTAGACCTGTTCAGCTATTTGTAAACATTTTTTTTCTGGGTTTTTTATTATCTTTTACATTTGGGGGTTTCTGTATTGTTTTCATTTGCTTTCCAGGCATTCAAATCTATAGAAGGTTGTTACTTACTTGATGTAATAGTGTTTTCTAATATATATCTACATATAATACCAGTGGCTTTGTCTATTTTTATGGTTTGGTAAAGGTGAGGTAGATAGAAATTTAAGACTGTGCCTAATTCCCAGATGTATGATCAGTTGGAAAGTCACGTTTTACTTGCAGCAGTCTACATCTGCCTGCATATTCCTTTCTCAACCGCAACGTCAAAAGCTGATCTAACGAAGATACAGATAACAAAAGTAGTCTCGGCTTCAGCAAGATACAATTTCTGCAATCAAAAACCTTCTGATATGAATATTCATTCTGAAGGAAAAGATTATATAGAAGCTGGTTCTATACAATCATAATATTACAATGTGAAAACTAGTTGACTTTTCACACGTTTAGAAAGGATCTTACTTTAGTATAATTTCTAAGAACGCATAGCTCTTCAGGGAGACAACTTTTTCCTAGCATGGGCTTTTATCTGTTTCACCTTTCATTTTCCAGTGTTCATCCAAACAATGTCTTGATGCATTTCGGTTTAATATTTTCTCTCCAATATTTTCTCCATCTTATCTCCATTTTCAATGTACTCCTATATGTGTAACTGTTGTGATACTCTTCCAGAACTTTAAAAGAAAAAACACCACCAGAACAACAACAACAAAACCCCAAACCCACAAATAACCCAGTTTGTATTGAGGTGGTGGTGGAGGGCGCTGAAAATCTCCATTCATTTACTGCTACATGTACTTCCTACTTCATTTTCAGTTTCAATTGTAATCTTCTTACAAGAATGTTAAGGCAAGGCAGAACTGCCTTTCAGTCCTTAAAATTTTGATAGTTTTTCTCTTTACAAATTGAAATTTATTTGGTATGAACATGATATAATTTTGACTTTTAGCTAAAGCACTGTTATTTGTTGTTCATGGTTTAATATCTGTAGAGGAGAATCGTTCCCAGACAGGACCAAATCTTTTCTAGGCACCAAAAGAAAATAAGAAACAAATTAAACTGGCTTCTGTATCAGTCTGCTCTAACTGTCCTTCAAAAACAAACCAAAAAGCTTACAACATATTTAAGGAGTACTGTTTAGTGTGTATTTAAGTTGTTTCACCTAACTTCTTTATTGTGGAAAACAGTAACTGGTCCGTGTTCATTTTTTCCATGCTCTATGTGGAACTCTAACATCTTTCTGTCACCTCTTCTTTTTACTTCTCCCTTATCTAGAGTGATCTAGGATCTAGGTTTGATACGATATCTCCTCGTGGAAAACACTTCATTGATGTGACCTTACTTGTTTTCTTTACTGCTTCTGATTCTAATAAACTTTATTTTGAGAAAAGGTATCCAGAACCACCCAGAAGGAAGGAACATAACTGATTGCAACCTGTAGTAGGGGTTACAGGCCCTATTTACCCTATTCTTTCTACTGTTGCAGCTCTTATTAATCCCTTCTCACTTCTTCCTCCATTATGTTCTCTATATTGCGAAACTGGAATGAGGGAACAGGAGCACATGAGGCTTATTCTGGTTCTTAGACTAGCTATTTGTCTTTTAAGTTTGTGGGTTTTCTGTTGTGGGTTTTTTTGGTGTGGTTCTTTTTTTTTGTTTTTTTTTTTAAGTTTACTGCAGATAGTGCCCGTGAAGTCTCCAAGGCCAAAGTTGTTTAACCTACAATAGTATCTCTGTAGCTTTATTTCTGGGCAAAGATATGTAGAAAGGTTACTACTGGCAGTCATTCTGTACCTGGGCTAGGGATTCAAAAAGGCAAGTTTTGGTATATTCCTTGAGCAAACTGGCATAACATTCCAATCCCAGAGCATAATGTCGTTGTTCTCCAGCCGTTTAAGTTCTTCTAAAATACTCCATCTCTTTGAAGTGATGAGTTCCAAAGGTAGGTTACCTTTTGAGCTTGCTGAAATGGTTTCCCTGTTGCCTTTTATGCATGCTTTTCTGTTTAAAGTGAATCTAAAGAAGATCTTGAGTTTCCTAATGCCATTTCCTACCCTTCCAGACTCAGTGTTCTTACAGTGTTTACTCTGGTTGGTATTAGCATTATGGTAAAATTGCCTAATCTTTTTCTTTGCTGCTAGAGCTCTGTGTAATAGAAATTACAGCTCAAAAGTCTCCCTGTAAAACATAATTAAAAAAAAGTATTTTCTTGGTAGGTAATGCAGCTATCACTGACTGATGGTAGAGCAGTACCTCTTAGCAAGGTGGATGTGTGTAATAGGGACCCAGAGGTTACAATAATAATGAGGTCTCCAGATAAATAAAAGGTCTTGATCTGTTAATTTAGCTTGAATGGTACTATTTTGTTGTGTGAGCTTGTCGGTTCAAAAGCACACGTCCCAAAATGAATTTGTAATTTATCTTCACTACTACTTCAAGATTTCCAGACTTAAGCTAAACTAACTCTTGGAAGTCTTTTCCACCTTTATTACTAGGGTTTAACTTCTTGACAAATTCACCCATGGTTTGAAAAGTAAGCCAGCTGGTACCAATGGCCTGGCTTGTTACTGTTCTCTCTCACTTCCAAATTGACAGAAACTGGCTGACACTTGACAGTTTACTTATAAAATTAAGCAGAAACATCCTCCGGGATTGTGAGCCACTCAGCTCTCACTTATATTATGTTTTCATACACTCTAAGACCTAATAAGACCTAATACTGTGTTTTCTGAAAGTTTTTTCAATGAAATGTTGCCCCACATTGTAGTGAATTTTTTATAGAGTTCCCCAAGTGATTTTGCAGATTTAAGTAAGAAAATTAATGCTTCGAAACCTGCTGAAGCAGAACTGTTTCAAAGAAGTTCTCTGTAGTAGCAGCTGCTAAAAATGTTATATAGGAATTCTTTAAGAGCTGAGCACTGCTTTTTTGTTAAATATCTTTCATTGTTTCAGATAGGTAAAATGTAACTATCAAAATTGGATCAATCTCATTTATTATGTAAAGTACAGTAATTTTATTTTATTCTTTTAAATTATGCACATTTGTGTGCACTAACCTTTTCCTATGTATCACAACTGAAGGACAACACTATTTAGAATATACGGAGTTTGTGTTTATGGTAAATCCATGGTTTCATGAAAATATGAGTAGTTCATGCACAAACCTGTATTAGTCTTTCTGGCAGACTACAGTCGACTTTAATCTTTGATTCGTCTGTGAAAAATCCATGTGACAATCTGTGTAATCTATTCTTAGCTCTTCTGTTCTGTGCTTCATAAGGGTACAGACTCTGGCAAGCCTGCCCAAAGCAATCAGATTAACTTGAGAAATAAAACCAGGAGAAACCAGCATGCAGTTTTCACTGTAATGCATGAAACTTGGAAACTGAAATTGTCACTTTGTTATTGTCAGTTGATCTTAGTTCACCCATGAGTCTAATAATTACTGCATATTATCCTGGCAGCATTATTGTTTAAAAAAACTAATGATTTTGTGCAGACAAAAAATACTGCAATTAATCATTCCAACACAATGAGATACTCCAAGTACAGTACAACAGGATTATTCTTTTCATTGACATTCTGAAAAATATCATGTTAAATTAAAGTTTGTCCTTTTCCTGAAATTACTTTGTGGACCTGACCGTAAAAGATTGTGTGAAGTTCCAATATGAAGAATTTAGATTAAATGAAAACTTGGAGAAAACTTACTCCTTTTCTAGAAGTGCACTTTTGGCTACTGTTGGAGGCAGGATATTGAACTCTGTGGACCCATGGTCTGATTTATGGCCATCCCTTTGAGATCTCTTCCGGAGCCAGCAGAACTGTTTGAGCCTATTAGCTCTTCAGTCATAGGGCTTTCTGAAGGATCAGGCAGATTGTGAAATAATTGTAGCAACTGAAAGTTTATCTCTGTTTGTTTTGCCTTCAGTGCTACAAATGCAGACCACGTTCCAGCCAAGCCTTAAACTCATGAAGGGCAGCATGTGCCTAAACTAAACCCTTCATACACAGTTTTCAAGAAGAAAGATGTACCTGATCTATTACACTTCCATTTCAAATGCTAACTGATGAAAGCCTTTTAGACAGTATGGGAAAGACAGCATTACACGAAAAGACAAAAAAGTAAAAGATCTCTTCAGCCTGTTTTTCACAGTATGTCAGAATGGCTTTTTTCCCCTACAAATTTTCTCCATGTACTGACATGCTAGCTGCTTCCAAGGTAGGCACAATCAACGGGTAGGATTCCTACCTAAAGTGCACACAGAAGTAGATCCGAGGAATTTCACACTCCAAGTACCTATTTTTCCTCTAAAAAGATAACTTGGAATTTGAAGCAATAGTCAATAATTGGTGAAATTTCTTGGACTGTATACTTATAAACAGTCAGTCTGCTTTTTAAAAGGTGGTATGCCATATTTTAAACAAACTGTACTAAATGAGTAGTGACTTTTGATAGTCGGGAAAGAGGGAAATGTCTAGTAAAACAAATATATTCATCTTGTTTTTAATAAATGGAATACTAAACTATATATTATGTGCATATTGGAGAAAATTAGTATGTATTTTAAATATGTTTTTGTAAAAAGTTTTTGAAGGGAAACCTCTAATCTCTCTTCTCAAGACTAGATGAAATATTCCTGCTTTGCAGTAGTCAAACATTTAATTATGCAGTAGGAGTAGTCTGTGACAAAATTCCTTGAATTTTGTGCATAGTGATGGGGGGAAATGGATAAAACATCTACAGTAAATGTGTGATGAGAGAACTATGGGCATTTATGTCCTTGCGTCTTGAAAGATGTTAGGTCTTTGAAGCTTTATCGAGCAACTGGTTGCTTATCAAAGACACTCACATTATTGTGACTGCAAAATTACTTTACACTGTTTGCAAATTTGCTCATCCTTCAAAATTTACAGTAATTCTGTACGGGAAGTAAATGGGACTATTTCTTCCTGATGCTGGTGGAATAATTTATATTATGGATAAGGGGGGCTGTTGGTAAATCTGAATCTGCATTTTGGTAGAGAAGGACCAATTCTAAAGTTTAACAAAATAAAAATCTCATCTTGGCAAACAGTTGCAAAGATTGGTTAAATAAGCAATGTAGAACAAAAGGTTTAGAAGAGATGTCTGACTTGAGTTATAGTCTTCTAACTCTTGGGTTTTAAGTTTTGAAACACATACCCAAGCTACACATTGCATGGAGAGCTGATTTGCGTTATTCTTAATGTATCTGCTTAATGATACCTCATTGAACTTTATTATAAGGTTACAAAAACTGCCCAGTCTCTTTTAATGTAGTGTCTTGGCTTGATCCTAAATGCCTCTGCTTTATTCCAGGGAGCCTTTCATCATTCTCTCAGGAGGCTTGTCATATGACACTGTAGGAAGAAGACCCTGTTTAACAGTTATGCATGGGAAAAGTACTGCTGTGCTAGAAATGGATTATTCTATTGTTGATTTTCTAACCCTCTGTGAAACACCATATCCTAATGGTAGGCTCTGTAAAGATTTTTCTCGGTACTTTGACCTCTTCTCTCTGGAGTTGTATCCCATCAGAATATTGTTTATTATTGCCTTTGTGTTTTATCTCTGGGGATCACACTGCAGCAGCAACATCTGTTATCCCTGTTGTCTGAATTATGTTTTACTTCCCAAAGCATCATAATAGAATAGTTCATTATACAACCTGTTTTGCTTCTAGAAGAATGCCAGTTATTGGTTGCGTGGGTTTTCCTTTATTTTTAATCTCAGAAGCATGTGCAGACAAAAAGTAGCATTACAATTTTAAGCTGTAGTTGCTGCAGCAGATGTGTTCATCAATATTTATTTGAACACATAAGACTTTTCCAGTCAATGCTAAATCTTGATTATCATTTGTGTAGTATTCTTAACTTTTAGTGACTCACTCATTCCAATACTCACATGAAGTTCATCACTAACCTGTAATCTCTTTTCTGCAGAAGGGGATTTTTTTAATCATAGTTTAGGTGGTGTCTCAGATTAATAGTATTACATTGCTGATGACTAATGTTTTTAGCCGTCAAATTCCATCAGAGTATATAAAACTGCTTAGCTCAGAATTTGAGGTCTGCCTGAAAGAGGGCAAGAAAAAACTTTGGAAACTCTTTCAATTTTCTTATTTTAGTGTCAAGTCGGCTATCTTTCAATCCATTTTGTAAGCAATTAGAATTTAAACCCCACTGAACATGAGGAAAAGTAGTATGAGGGTGGGAGGATGTTATTGTTCAGTAATTGGCTCTTTCTCAAAAATACTGCTTATACAAGTTCCTCTGCATGTTCCTTTTCCTGTAATTTGAACTGTTTAAATGATTCTAGCAAATTGGAAGAGAGTTGAGAACATTGAATTAAAGGGAGAACGTGGCTCTTCCAAACTTAACTTGGAGTATTCAGGGGGGTGAGTATAAAAAATATCTTCAGAAACAATAGTCAGATAAGTGGCTTTTCTACTTTTGACTGATAGAGTGCAAGGACTGATCACATTCTTGACGCTGTGCATGGAAGAGCTATATTTATCAATAAGTAACTTCTTTCCTTCTTGTTTTCAGACTTTCAGGAACCATATGCTGTAGTTGTTCTATTAGAAAAGGACTTAGTACTGATAGACCTTGCACAAAATGGGTAAGAATCTTATGTAGTCTTTCTAATGGTTGGCTGCAGTGATCAGCCTGTTGTTCTGGTCTATAGCTTTTTAATCTACCTCCCTGTCCAGAACATAAATTTTTTAATATTAAATATAATGTTTCTTCAGCAGAACTGAGAATCTTCATATATCAACTTTTCTCAAGTTAATATGTAATAGATGAGTAGGATATTATGCAACTTTTTTCCAGGCTTGATTGCCTGAGAGAAATTACTCATAGATCACTGTACTTTTTAATTATCACAGTTTATTTTGAAGTTGCTTCCTTAGTGCTGTGAGGGGATCTCAGAATTTTGGGGAAGGGAGCAGGGGGAACAACTGTTCACATAAGCTAGGTAATTTTGGCTGGCACAGTGTTGTTGTCATCACATAAATATTTGCTGATTTTTATTGCCAACTGAATTGCTATCTGTATTGCTTAAACTCCATACTGATGCAATAAATAGCATATACGTAAAATTAAAATGATAACATCTGCTCCCTGGTATACTACTCTGGTAAGAAGTTGCTTGAAAGTAGCATCCTAATACAGTTTTCACAACTAATACTTGCCAAACACGTTTTGAGTCTCTTGTTACTTTGTTCATGAAACAGTCTGTATACTCTATTAGGTGCTGATTAAAAATGCTACACATTTTTTGATCAAGGGTTTTTAAATTACTATGGGCAGCAACAACTAACTTAAGGGATTAGTAGCAGAGCAACTAGATGGATAAAGTCTTTGTAGCATTCCTGATTAACAGTCACCAATGGTCAACGAAGAAGAAAAAAATCCTTGTGACGAACATACTTTTAGGGCAAAACAAAAACCTGTGAATATGTATCCTCAAAGTCAACAGTGATACCTTAGATAATGAAGACTCTTACCGAGTTTGGAAGGTCAATTTTAGTCCTAATGTCTCTGCAGCTACTGAGCAATTTCATTTCGGTTTTTCCAATGTTACGTGGCCATATGCTGTATCCAGAATTTGTTTCTGATACACCAATGGCATTAAGCTTCCAACATTCGTATGCTGAAAGATTAATAAAACACAAATTTTAATGAGCTTGACGGAAAAAGGTTTTAATAAGGCCTTTTTTCCTTAAGTGAAGTAGTTTGCAGAGCCTGAAAATTTGAAGTTATGTTAAGGCTTATTCCATTTAATGTTAAAAAAATCTTCGGCAGTTGTGTTTTTAGAAGACTTATAATGGTCTTTGTTATGACTGACTTGCAAAGTATTAATTGTCTCACACTGGAAAAAAGCAACAAAATTTTTTTTTTTTTTTTTGCTACAGGAGGTTTCCTTTTGCCCTGTGTGTCATATGGATTTGTCATATTTTGTTAAAATTAAGCCTCTTTTTCATTCAATTTTTAGAAGATTGTTTTGGCTTTCCAGATAGCTCTGAATAAAGTTATTGGTACAGAGAATGTTTTCATCTGTTGTTGCTATTCGTACGCAGAATGTTGCATCTGTTAGATGGGTTGAGAAGCTGTGTCCCTTTTTTGCCTTTCAAAAAAAAAAAGGGGGGGCGGAAGTATGTGCATAGTATGCATTTCTTTGGGGGTGGATGTTCTTTGAACACAGATATGTTGACCACCATTATTGGCTTTTTTCCTCATTAAGGCTCTGTCACTTTTCTGGTGGAGGTTGGGGGGGAGTATATGTCTCTGTGTGTTTGCTTCTGATTGGTAACTGAGTGTTGCTATCTATAACTTTCAGAAAGTGATCTTGGAGTTGCCAGTACGTTATGAAAAGTGCTGGACAACTTTTTCCTCTAAGAACAGTAAAATAATGTAAAGTGAGAAGCGGAGTCTTCCTGTCTGTCTCCCTGGAAGAACAGACTGAAGAGTTAGAAATAAATTCGTAGCTCCACATTACTACAATTAGGACTTGGTAACTTCTGTTTTTTCATAGGTCATTAAAATAGTAAGCTTTTAAAACTATAAAAAATATAGGGAATAGCAGTGTTCTAGAAATATTCTAGAAACAGTACGAACTTCGGATTCTGTTAGAGTACTGCAGTATCTTGATAGTGTACTGGATGAGCAGTAAAGTTGCATAGTGTATTTGTTCATAATCTAGTTTGATATGCATTTATATTCCTCTATACAAAAAGAATGCAAACTTAATCTTTAGTATTTTACTTATGTTCTATGTTTAAAAAAAAAAAAAAAGGTTTTCCTGGATAAACAGTCTTCCTCTCTCATCCATTAAAGGTACCCTATATTTGAGAATCCCTATCCTTTGACTATACATGAATCTCCAGTTACCTGTTGTGAATATTTTGCTGATTGTCCTGTGGACCTCATTCCTGCACTCTATTCAGTTGGCGCTCGACAGAAACGTCAAGGTTACAGTAAGAAGGTACAATGTCTAATACATCCATATGTAGTTGAAAATACTGAATATCAGCAGCTCTAAAAAAATGAGTGACCGTACTGCAATCAAACCTCCGTCTGACTCATTATACTGTCTTTTGAGAATGGCTAATAGCAGATGTCTAGGGAGGATGTAGAGTACATCAGGCCTATGGTCATACTTTCCTGATGTGTTCCCATCGATTGCCATATCACTGGAAGCTAAGGGACTCCCTGGAGCAGCAGTGTTGTTTATAGCTCTTGTTGATTTTTCTTTTTTCATCTGCAGTGGATATGTCTAATTACTTTTTGAAGTTGTATGAAATACTGGAATCTGCGGTAATTTGAGTTGCTTAACTTTGCACTGTATGATAATTTCTTTCTCAATGTATTTGTTAATCTTCCAGGAATGGCCTATCAGTGGAGGCAACTGGGGTTTGATCACTCAGAGCTATCCAGAGATAATTATTACAGGGTAAGTGACACCATAGTGTAATAATAACTTTCCTAGCTGATAAAGTAGAAGTGAGAATATTTTGTTCCCCTTATAGAAAACAGTATTCTGAATGGTTTGAATGATTTAAGAAAATATGTTCACCAGACAAGTCATTTGCATAATCTTCTTGAGATGTTAACAAGAAAGTAAAGCAAAATGAGGGAGAAGGTAGGAACAAAATGATAGCAGGTGTTTTACAGGGATTATTATTGTGATGATCTGCTTGTTATCAGTATATCCTGGATGAAACTTATCTTTTATTGTTTAACTTTTGGAAAATAGTTGAGTAGTGTTTTAAAGCATGGGAAGTCCATTAAACAGTTACACATTCAGTTCTCAAATGAAGACAAGATTTTTATTTCAAAAAGGACAAACAAATACTTAAATCTATTCGGTTTTCTTCTCTTTGAGACTTGTTCTTCTAATACTACTCTAAGGAGCATAAACAAAATTTAATTTATAACTGTGCAGTGCATTGCTGAAAGTGAGAGCACTACTAAAATTTTTTTAATACAGCCAGTTAGTCCTAATGATGATTACTGTCACTTTATGCTACACGTTGCAGAGACTTTGAGAGGCAGTCCTGAAAAAATCTAGTCATCTGATTCTCAATTTCAAGGATAAATAAACAAGTTAAGTGACTCATTTACGGTGAAATACAGTATATTTAGGCATCTCCTTTGCAAGTGTCACTCCAAATAAAGTGCATCTTTTGAGAAATAACACATGGTAAGGTATACCAAACTGCTTATGGGAAATGCAGTAACTGAAATTGATATTTAAAATGGTAAATTGGTATTAGTACAGTGGAATTTCAGGCAGTTAGCCTCCAAATATTTTTTTATCCCTTCTGCCCAAAGTAGTGGGGGCACATGTTCATAAAATATTGACTTCCAATAAATTGTGCAAATAGTGTCACTAAGAATACTAATAAAAATAGTATGTTAGCCATTTGTTTTCTAATCAGAAGCAAGGAGATCTAACGCTCCAACTAACCATTTTATAATCTTTGTAATTTTTTATTATTTCATAGGCATGCTGATGGGTCAATCAAGTTTTGGGATGCCTCAGCAAGTAAGTGTTTTCAGTAGAGATTTTTGTCCTGTGTAGTAGTAGTTCTCTGAACTTATTTATCTAATGGAATGTAACTGCAGACTAGTCGTTATTTCCTGTCTCATGTAGGGTCAGTAACTTGACAAGAAACTTTGATCTAAAATTAAATAAAATTAACATTATTTCTTAGTTAATTGTTTCACTGTTTTTATCACCTCAGTGAAAATGCACTGGTAGTCCAAGGGCCAGCTAGAATGGAAAAGTTCTAAGAAGCACCTTCAGAAGCACATTATTGAGCATAGCGATGCATGACAGGCAAATACATTCCTTTTTAGTACAATTGAATTTTAGTAATTTACTTCTGTCTTTTTAGACAGGAGGGAGGCATGTATTTACAAGACATCAGCTCCCCATAAATTACAGTACCTAAAAATGAGAATTGGAACCAGTAGTAGTTCGTGCTAACAAAATGATGTAGGCATTTGTGAAGAAAGACAGGAGAACAGTAAAATAAAGACACTTTTCTTTGGTGGAGCACTGAACAGGCCTGAAGAGTCTGGTACCGTTTAACACTTCTCTTCAGTTAAAGGGTCGATTGCATCTAATGGTACACAGCTAACAGTGAGAAACACAGTAAAAACTCAACTTAGAATGGACTACACAGAGTTAGATGTTTTAATTAATCTAGTCCTGAATAACCTTATTCTTGGTACTTAAAAGCTGTCTGAAGCAATCTTGGAATCATTATCAGTTGTCTTTGAAAACTTGTGGAAAGACTGGTGAGATTCCAGAAAGCCAAGGCGTGTGTGGGTGTGGGAGGGAACAGATGCAATGTATATGTTTAAAAACTGGGAGGAGGAGTATCTGGAGTGTCAGAGATTTTTAATTTCACTTTGGGGTGGAGGTGGAACCTGGGGGAGGGGGAGGGGACGACAACACCAAACCTGATTGATTGTGTGCTTAAAAATTCTATTTAGCATAGATCTGTCAAAAGGAAATCCTATTAAAGGCATTTAGTTTCTTCTTAAAACAGATAAATAAACTTGTTAAGGGAGAAACTGCAAGTATCCTGTATCTTCATTTTAAAACTTCTAAATCTCTCTAATTGCACAGTCTTACAGATGAACTAGGGAAGTGTGATTCAGGTAAAACCACTCAAATATGAAGAGGAGAAAGGATGCTATAAATTAAGTTTTCCTGATGATACGATTAGTATTTGTAGCAGTGATTTGGGCCGTTGACTAGAGAATATTCCTGTGAAGTTTGAAAGCAACACAAAGACTGTTGAAAGAAAATGTAAGAAAGAATTAGAATTACAGTTGATGTTGATATTGCTAATTCTTGAATAGCATCCAAGACAATTTATTTGAATATGGGATCAATGATTTACACTCGGAACTTATGTTCTGGAAAAAAAATGTGGAGATCTAATGGATTGCAGTGTCAGTGTTACACAAAAAAAAAAAAAAAAGTCATTGATGTAAATAAGTGGGAATATCTGTAAAACCAGCATGGAGTAATTCTTTCACAATTTTAAACTGGCAAGGCCTCACTAGAACAGTTCTAAGAAACATGCTGTTAAGAAAAATGCGGACTGATCAGAGGGCAGCACTTTTAATGATCAGACAGGACAAAATAAAGATTGAAGGAACCGGGGCTGTTAAGCCTGAGAACACAGGTGAGAGGCCATGGATTTGAAATACTGTAAGGAGAAAGGAAAGGAGCTTTACTTTCTCTGCCATAGATAGGCTTACATTGTGAGTGTGACGTGTAACTAGATGATATTGTTATAAAGAGATCCCTAAGTGAGAGCTTAGATAATAACAGAAGCTTAGTATGTATCTCAGGGGAAGTGTTGGGTTTTGGTGTTGCTTTTGGGTTGGTTTTTTTTAATACTAACTGATCCTGCATTGGGCAAATAGGCAGAGTTGACACAGATATTCAGTGCTTCTACTCTTGCCGTCTTTTGTTGAATAATGTGGCTTTATTTATGAAGAGAAGTTTCTAAATTTCAAAAAAGAAAAACCAAAACCAAAGCAAAAGAAATATCTGTTTAGATAAAAACTAATTTTTATCTCTCTTGTTTTGTTCCTAGTAACGCTGCAAGTACTCTATAAGCTAAAAACAGCCAAAGTATTTGAAAAATCACGGAATAAAGATGACAGGCCAAACACAGATATAGTAGATGAAGATCCATATGCTATTCAGATCATCTCATGGTGTCCAGAAAGTAGAATGCTGTGCATAGCTGGAGTTTCTGCACATGTCATTATTTACAGGTTCAGCAAGCAGGAAGTGACAACAGAAGTCATTCCGGTAATTAGTATAACCATTTTTTAACTTCGTAGAATTCAGCTATAAGACGACCGTTGTAGCAATTTATTTCTTTGTTGTCTTTCATTTTATTAGTGAAATGGACAAAAACAATTGCCTCCAGAAGAGGAGATGTGTTTTTGTGGAGGAAAAATAATAAACTATGAAATTCAGCAAAAGTGAAAATTGAATACCAAGATTTTGGTTTTCATTTGCTTTTTCAGGTTTTGCAGCCAATAATAGTTCTTTGTTCTATCTAGCAAAGCAAATAATGGATCAAAACTTGGCTGTATCTGAGATAAAATGAAAGTGGTAGTGAATGAGATGTTGAGTTGAAGAGTTTTCAAAGCTTTTAGGGAGTTGATTTCTTTTTTTTTTCTTTGTTCCTAATAATTACCATCTGTCTTGGCAAAACTTCTGCAGTTTGCAGAGCTAGGAGAGAAGTGTGCCAGACATAAGGTCTGTTAAGGACTTTGCTGTGTCACTGTTCTGTTCTGTGTAAGATACAATGATGAGTTCTGTTACAAGAGTTTGAGAAGTCCTTTGTTAAAGACACACACATGCAGCTTTGGTTATCTGAATGTAGGAGCTGAAAGTGAACTTGAAGCCATTTAGTTATAAAATGTTGTATGTTTTCAGTAAGGTATTAATTGTAATGTAGTTGGGTTTTTTCCTCCTTCCCCCTTACTCTGCCTCCTTCAGATAAGTCTCAGTTTAAGGAGATGAGGCATAGGGTTTTTTTCTGTCTGGTGTTTACTTATATACAAGTACATTTCCTTCTGAGGGAATAATTTTTCTAAAGGATTTTTACAAATCAGCCTTTCACAAACTATTCTTCAGTACTATGAATGCTTTAAAAGTACTGTATTGTTCTTTGTTTCAGTCCATGAATTAAGTTCTACTTTGCAGATACTGAGAATAAAACAGCAGAAAACTTGTACACTGCACTACAGTTAATACTACTGTTGTTATAGGTCCAGCAGAAGGAAATCTGAAATCATGATGAACTTAGTTCTAGATGTATGGTCTAGTTCAGTGCAATGTCAAACGTTGAACTACGTCCCATGTGTACAGTGCTACAACAGTATAAAGCGTAGCTGTCTATATGCCTTCAGCTCTTCTTAGTTTTAGCATTCCTGAACTACATAGTGTCATCTTCATAACTGAGAATTTATGTGTACAGAAAGATAATTGAGTCTTGTATCCAGTATTTAATTTCTTTCTAGTATTAAGTAGAAAACTTCTAAATATTAGGAAGTAGATTAGATTTTAAAGTTTTGGCAATCTTCAGCTATTCAGTCTGTAGTAGTTAGTATGAGTCTATTTCTGGAGACTGCATGTGTGTGTTTTGATTTCACTGTTTGTTAAGCTACTGTTACCTTCTAAAAGATGGAAGAGTCTTGGATGTCACTCTTACCACTGATATCTTCAGTTGCTCTTCATTTATTTCGTGTCTATTTTTTTGAAAGGCAGTTTACTGGTAACTTTATTTACTTTAATTTACAGATGCTGGAAGTACGTCTGTTATATGAAATAAATGATGTCGAATCTCCAGATGGTGAGCAAGCACCACCTGTACCAACTCCAGGCACAGGTTCCAATCCTCAGTCCATTGTTCCCCAGTCTCATCCATCTACTAGTAGCAGTTCATCTGATGGACTTCGTGATAATGTTCCATGTTTAAAGTAAGTATATTCTGTTATCCTTTTGAGTGTGAAATTTTACAAGAATATGTGATGAGAATGTGTACTTTGATATTATTACAGCAATGTGATTCCTGGTGAAAATGTTCTCTTTCTTAGACAGTTTTTCAAATATCTGAAAGTTGAGTTCTATTTTAAGAAATTAATATTGCAATCTTAGTTTCTTTAAACTTCATAGGCTGATTTTTTTAAAAAAATCTGAAAATTCTTACCTTATGACTGCTGTCTACTCTAGGAAACTTTGGCATAGAAATTAGTATAGTTACAGATGCTTATGCTTTAGAGCTTTGAATTCTTACTATCCATTGAAATGAACAGGCAACTTAATGTTTTGTGATGCTCCTTAACTTTAGGTCAAGTATGTCTGAATACATTTCACCTGCTAGTTTTCCAGAGCCTTAGGTTTTTAGAGCCACATCAAAAGCAATGAAAATGCTTACAAACAACTAACTTAGAGGTTACTCTTTTTTAGGTGTATAAATATATTTTTTTCATAACTCTCCAAGGGAACTACTTTGTATTTTGGGAAGAGGAAACAGAATTAAATATGTCCCGTTCTCATGGATATTCATTTTGCATGATGCCTCATAGTGCTCACAGTGTAGGTCTTTGACCAATTTTCAGATATATTTTTTTTTTATTGGAGTTTTTAGCTTACTACTCATTTGAGAAATGAAAGTTAAAAGGCAATCTTTTTTTACTCTTCTACGAGAGTGCATTATGAGGACTCTGGACCACACCTTTTCCTTACAGAATGTACATTTAACTTAATTTCCAGTTATAAAATTAAGATATGTATGTACTTTTTGTTTTCCAAAGCCTTAAGTTCCAAACTTGGATTTTAATTCTTCGGGTGCATCTGTCCAGAAAGTAACTAAGTCTGATAGGGTTATTTTCTCTGGGTTTGTGTCAGCATGCAAACAAAATCTTTCCAGGAGCTTCAATTCCCCCATTCCCAGGTTCATTCCATAAAACTGCTCTACCCTTATAATAATTTACCTTGCTTTCATTTTTTTCTGCCGTATCATCAGCTTTTTGTTCGCACTTGTCTCAACACGTTGTCCTTCCATTTCCCTTTTCAGTATGCTTCTTCCACGTGCACCCCTTGCCCCCTTCCATTCTCTAAATCAGAGTTCTTTTGGGAACTCTGAAAAGAATGGGTAACACCTTCCTTTTAGATACAAAATGCCTTACCTATTCCAGTCAATACAGCATGCAAATTAAATGCTGTTACACCTTGCTCTGAAGAGGGGAGAAATGAAGTATTTGTGACAGTTGCTCAATTAATTTTCAGTTAAGTGATGAATCAAAAGGACCCTTAGAGAAGGAGTGACTAGTTCCAATGTGGCTTTTGTCTGGTTGCTTTTATATGTTGATGTTTTTTTCAATTTTCCAATTTTCTAAAGTCCAGTGTGGTGTAGACTTTAATGAATTCTGAGCCTACAGGGAGAAAATGGAGACTGTAGAGTGTCATAAAAATGTATTTTGTTTACTTTACAGAGTTAAAAATTCTCCTCTCAAGCAGTCTCCAGGCTACCAAATTGAGCTAGTTATCCAGCTAGTGTGGGTGAGTGGAGAACCTCCTCAACAGATAACCAGTTTAGCAGTCAACTCAGCATACGGCCTGTAAGTATATTCTACACACTTTTTTCATTATTCTGTTAAAGTGATTTAAAATTATCTAGTAAAACTTAAGTCTCTGTGTGTGTTCACATGAGCTGCACAGTAACGCAACCACAGGAGACTGCCTGTCTTAAAAGATAATTCCTTTTGGGTCATGGCAGATCCTGATGGTGCTAACATCAGAAACAAATCAGTGTCACTCTTCTTTACCTAGCACTGTACAGCTAAGAGTAAGTGTCATTTAAGGCTTTGTCAGATAACATTGGCAGGTGCAATGATGGAGATCTGTTCTACTCAGTGCCACATGTTTTTACAAGAGAACAATTAAACAATACTGCATTTTAAAATAGTAACTTATAAAGACACGTAATTTAGGATAATTCATAAAAATTAGGAAGTTTTAAAATGCTGAACAGCAACAAATACCAATATAAAACTTTACCAACATTTGATTAGCACTATCTTTTCTTCCACTTCTGTTTTTCCAGAGTAGTTTTTGGAAATTGTAATGGTATTGCCATGGTTGATTACCTACAGAAGACAGTGCTTTTGAATCTAGGCACTATTGAACTGTATGGCTCCAATGATCCTTATCGCAGGGAGCCACGATCTCCCCGAAAAACTCGACAACCATCTGGAGGTGAGTAACCCAAAACTTGTTTTAACAAACTCTGCCTTTCTTCTGAGATTATCTGGGCTATTAATGTATATTCTTTGAATACAAGCATACTTTTCTCCTTCATGACTTCATCCTTTCTTCTTTATCTGTCTTTAATGTCACTATTGCAGGTTTGTTACTTCATGTTTCTTTCAAAACTTGCTTAGTGGAATCTCGTGATGCTTTATCATTACTTGTTTTTCAGTGCAATGTATGTTTTAAGAAAAAGCAGCTGGGAAAACATTGCGTGAATAGGTATAAGTATAAATGTACAATGGATTTATGCAGCTTTCAAGACTTTAACATAATAACACAGCATGAAGAAGTAGAAATATCCTGGTATTTCTGATAAACATAGTACCCCTGTCACATGCTTATATAAACTCAATGTTTGCAGATAGCCAGTGTATCTGCTGGTACCTTTTGGCTTCCTGTTTTAAGCTTTGACTAGAAATGTCCCTGACAAGCTAAAGCATGTTATGTTATGTATGCTGTTATGCTGGAGAGGAAGCCTTTGATTTAAATGAACCAAATAAATTTCCAAATACAAACTGGTAAAATAAATTCTTTTGAAAAAAAAAAAAAAGGGTGTTTCTTGCAGCTGAGGAGGAAAGTAACTTTTCAGTCAAAATGCCAAGCATTTTATTGCCAAAAGGAAAATTTAGTATTTTTAAATTACTTTTTTCTCCTTGTTATGTAGTGAGTACTTTTAAGTTAATTTGGAAAACGACTGAAGACAGAATGATAAACAATGTCACTGCTGCCCCAAATTACTATTTTTTCATAGGAAATAAACTGTTCAAAAAAAAAAAAACAAACCCACAAACTTATTTATGCAGTAGTGTTGATTGCTTTATTTTAAGAGGTCCAGGTAAGTTTTTTTTAGGTGATATTTTATTCAAATTGAAATAGATGATGTAAGATATATTTTATTAAATCTTTGGTTTGAGAAAGATCCAGTGAACACCAGTCAGCTTATTTCGACTGAGGAAACTGGTTTAAAATTCATTAACATATAGCAGAACATACACAGCTGGTATCCTGTCAGATAAAATATTTTCTTCTAGTAAATAAAAACTTTTTCTCTCATAAAAAGTAATTTTATAATAAATAACTTTACTGGTTGACTGTGTTAATTCCTCTTGGGAGTAAAGGGCTTAAATTCTGCTTCATGCATTTAGATTACAAACTGCCTTTTGGAGTGTTAAACATTACTTTGTTTTCCTGGCTTTTGTTATTTTAATATATTGGATCTGCATAACTGAGTTAACAACTGCGTATCTAGGATGTTTATGAACGAACTGGTTTTTTTTTTTTCTTTTTGCTCACGAATGTAACTTACATGAAATCATGTATTTTTTCATCTTACATTTTGATACTAACTGTCTGCATGGCAAGAGCATTTTATAAACCTGGTTATACAAGTTATTCTGCTGGCTTTTCTGTCTCAAATGTACTGTTAGTGTCTCCGTCTTTCCTTTTCTCATTGCTTCATAAAGGTATGCTGACTGTGGCTTCTTGCATGTGCGGCCTTTCTAACTTATATTCAGAGTCTGTGAAAAAGCTTCGCACCTCTTATATAAGTAAGTCATCTCATGGCACTAAAATATTTTTGAACACCTGAATTTGATTTTTTGACTTGTTCATTCACCATAAATATTTTTATTGATCCATTTTAAATAATTGCTTTAATTTTAGAAACTGATTTTAATCCATCACGCATCTATCTTATTTCTTGTTCATAGCATCTTTAAGAGAAACTTGAAGGAAAAATAGCAACCATAATCGTCTCTGTATTTTGTGGTTTTAAATCCATAAAAGTCAAAATGAAAATGAGATCCTGTCTCAGAAGTTCCTGATGTCTACAACCCGAGTTCTTACTTAGTGTTGTTTTGAGACCGGAGGCTAGAAACTTCCCTTGCTTGGTCCCCTTTCTGGCAGAAAAAGCTTCAGAACTCTAGTGTTGTTGTTGTTATTATTATTATTATTAGTAGTAGTAGTAGTAGTAGTAATAATCATTAGTTGTTACTATTATTAATAATAATATTAATATTTAACATTATAAAAGGCAGTGATTTGTCTACTAAAAGTAAAAAATTACTTCATAAAGATGTTCATAGAGAGTGGAGGTCTTTGTGCATTGCACAGCCCTGTGGGGTTTCTAAACAGTTCTGAAGTTCAGGCACCTCTGCGAGGGAGGTAGCCCATCAGAACCATGATTTACCTGAGGACTTCTCTGACTTACTCCATTTACAAGACCCAAGAATTTGGAGAACATAAAGCTGATTTTTAAAAGCGTAACATTGTTCCTTTCCATAGGATGCCAATTTTCTCCAGCCCTTGGCCAGAGGTACGTAATCTCACTCCATTTTTTAATGAAGGAGAGCAGAATAAAACTAAGCAGAGGGAGGAACAACCTGGAGTTAAAAACTAATTGACATTGTGATGCAGTTACATTAGTTCTGCTATTACTTCTTTCCCCTACAAGAAAAAATAAACATATTTCAGAGAGGGTAGGCTCAATAGACTAATACTGCTTTCTGTATAGCTTTCCATTCTCTGCTGCTAAGGGAGAAAACAAGCTAGGCATAAAAGAAATGCCTCCACCTTAAGATGATACAAAACTGAAAACCAGGATCTGCCACTGATTTGTTGTGAAGGGAAGCGAAAGATGGGTTAAGTCCGAAAACTGGTTTCTGAAGCCAACAATTGTAAAGCTGAATCTACCTGGACTATTTAATTTAGGAATAGGTTAAAACAGGTTTCATATGAAAGAGTTATTTCTTAACCATGTAGTTAGTTCTTTCCCTCCACCATCCTGCCGATATCTTGGTTAGCTGGAGATACAGTCTTTTTTAAAACTGAAAATAATTTCTTGAGTTATCCTTTAATATTTCTCATTTTTTGTAGTTTTCTCAATGTATGTGTTGCCCAGACTTCAATAGCTTAAATAATAAAGCATTACTGTTGTGTCATTTTCCACAAATAAGACAACTGTTGCATTAAAAACTATCCTTTGCTGTATATATGGGATTGGAAATATGAGAGTTAGTCACATCTCTTTTGGATTTTGCATTCTGCCGTTCTTGGACATTAATAACTGCATTTAGTGTCTTCAAAAATGCAAGAAACTTATGCTTCTTTCGTTTTGTTTTGAAAGATATGCCTTCGTTGAATTCTCTATCTTTAAAACATTTGTATTTTAATACTTCTAAATTTATTTTTCTATCAATAAGACAATTTCAACTACTCTACTGCTCTAATATCTTTTAGGGAGTATTAGTACTTAATTTCTATATCTTCCTGGAAAAAGCACCTATGTATTTAATGTGGCTGTTTTAGAGAAACTTGAGTATATTTCCCGTTCTCGTTGAGACAACCACAATGTATTTAAAAAAAAAGTAAAATAAATAATACTAGCCTATGCATGCATTCAGACAAATTCTTAATTAGTTACATTAAGTTTGGGTTCAAACAGCATGGAACAGGGCAGCATATAGATATTGTATATTGTATCCGAATATTGGCAGAAACAGAAATTAAATTACTGCGTTATAGAGGGGAGTAGGAAAACATCATTCTCTTTCTCAACTAAATCCATATGTTTTGCCCAAAAAAGGCACCAAGAATTGGTCCTCCCTCATTAAGAACCCTGCTATTCTGTATGTTCCAGCATAAAACGTGTGTTTAATAGATGATCAGTATCTGCATACATATTTAAAATTTAGTAAACAGCATGTGCTGAGTCAACTAATTGAAAACTTTAAAAGACCTTTTTTAAAAAAAAAAAGTTCATAGGGTAAGAGTTATGTATCTTCTAAAATATGAATGGAAATGCAAGATTTTTCCCTTCACTTGTGTTGCAAGAATATGATGTATGTTTTTGTCATCTTATTTTTTCTACTCAGAAAAGAAATTCAGATTCCCGTCTTAAAGCAGCATCTGTGTAGAGACAAGGCTCTCTACACTAGCTAGACTGTAAACTGTCATTTCAGGCTAGCTCAACAGATAGAAGCTCCCAGTTGGGATCGTGTTTTGGAATTTATCAGTGATTCATACCAGGTATATTACTCACATGTTTTGGGTGGCAATTTATAGTTTGTGAAGCATGCAGTATATGTGTTTTGTGAAGGCCTGCTAGACAGTGTTGTCAGGTGCTTGTCAAGGATATAAGCAAAGTCAACCTTTGCTTCAGATCAGAATAGTGAGGGGAAAAACCCCAACTCTGTCCATGTGCTGAAAGAAGTAAAATGTGTAAGAGCTTTATAGTGTGATGAAAACTCTATACACAGTGGAGGCTTACACTGTATAGAGTCTTTTGCTTTATAGACTGTTTGCTAAATGTGACAGGAGCCATTAGGAAAGTCAGTATTGGTACCAAATTATCAAATGAGTCATAATTTTATGACAAAACACCAAAACTTATGGACAGCTGTTATCTTTCCTTGCTTAGTTACGTAATTAAGTTCACATAGGACACCAATCTTAACTGGTTTGCAACTTACTATTGGTAGGAGTGACAAGATTTTATGTGACTTCTTCAACTAGTACAATATAATACAACTTTTTATAAGTTAGTATTTTTTGGTTCTACCAGAAGCAGTTTAGGTAGGATCCTGACAAAACAGAAGTGGTTCTTGCATGCATTTGACTTTTTATTATACATCAAAAAGCCTTTTTCAAGTGTAATCTACAAGGGATTCAGAACTGGGGTTAAGTCAAACCTAAAGAAAATACGTGCCTATAACTCCTCTGGGGTTGCTTGTTGTAGTTGTTTTCCCTATCCCCTTTCTCCTTGAACTGAATCTGGACATGAACTACTTGAATTTTTAACTTAAACATCAACTAAACCAGAGCAACTGCTGTGGCGAAGCCAAGTACAGAACTGAATCAAAAAGTTTGTTGGGTTTGGGGATTTTTTGACTCTGTTTTTCAGGTTAATTGGTTTTAATTCTAACTTCTGCGTCTTCATAACAAGGTAGTTCTAGTTGTTGTAATTTTTAATTAGGCTGGTTTCCAGTCAAGTTTTGGTCTCTTCAGAGATATATCTGTCTAAAGCTTATGTGAAAAACTGACAAATGTCTTAGGAAACTTACTTTACACATCGGTTAATTTTAGCTGTAATTCTAGAGAGTTTTTAATGCAGCACGATAATTTTTTGTCTTTAGTGACATTATTTGAATTTTTTATATCCATTTTGGGGGCTTTCAAATTTCTTGCTACTAGAGTTCAGAGAAATAAGCTAAAAGCTTATTAGAAGGTAACCTCTTCGTATATTTGTGTTCTAGCAGGTTGTAGACTTTGCAGTTCTGAAATGGAAACTCTTGGATCAATTTGCTTTTGTTATCTGTAGCAATTTGCACGTATGCTGTAAGCTTGAAGCCAGAGAACTTTTCCAGGAGAGCTGTCTCACTGCCAGTGCGCACGCTCCTTCTATCTGGGTACCTGGGGTTTTAGGATGAAAAGCAATAATGATTGTTACACCAGTTTCTTCTCATTGATCATGGCCAGACCCTCATAGTTCAGACTTAACTCGGGTCATTCTTGTCATTCTCTGCTTATTTTAATTAATATTACAGTCATAGGTAAAATTACTTTTTATCTGTTCCTGTCCCTTCTCTCTCTTAAATAGCAGCAGTGATGGCTATGCTTAGATTTCCAAGATTCATGTATGATAACGATTGTCATAAAGCACTTACTCTTTAGTGGGATAAATCTTACCTAATGCATAAAATTAGTGCATAGATTTACCATGAGAGAATGTTGTGAGGGTCTTCTGTTGGATCAATTGATCAGAGTTATTCATCAAGATGTATATTAATTAAATTGTAGCCTCAAGACTCTTAGAAATTAAGTGTGCGGGTGTGTGACTTCATTCTTGGATAAAGGCTGTTCCTGTCAATGCAGGAATTTTCATAGGAAAACTGGTGTGAGAAGTTAAGTTCCTCCTATGAAGATAAAGAACTAAAATATTTGTTTGGATTTGTTTGGCTCCTGAAGGAGTGTGATCTGGAAGCACAACTGTTTCTAAAAGTACAGTATAGGTTTGTCCTCCCAGCACTGCTGCTATCTAAAACTTGTGTTGCTTTTTGGGAGAGTAGCACCTGGATTTTTTTTTTTTACACAACCCTGTCTAATACAAAACATTTAGACTCCCATGCATGTTTAAAACTCAGGGGGGCTTTCAGAGGTCAAATCATACTTTGTTAGAGAATATGTACCACGATTATCCCATAGTGTTCATTGATTTACTGACAGATAAATTTTTTTTTTTTCTGTGTAGTGGAAAGATACAGCTTTCACTTGGTATTTCACCATATGTTTTAGAACGGAAGTCAGTCCTTGGACTGTTGTTAAGTGTAGGGTTAACCAAGCCTTAAAGTCATTTGACAAATTTCACATCAGTCCTAGTTGCTGAGTTTTGAGGTTCAAGCTGTACATTTTCTTAGAAACCTTTAAAAAAAAAAAAAATGCTATTTTGCATAAATGAAACCATTTGTATGCAACATACTTTTAATGTGTTCCACATTGATATATTTCAAGAGAACTTTTTTCCTTTAAATTAGTAACTTCTGTTTGAGTATTTGGAAGTTTTAAAGCTTCGATAGAATAGTACCTTTCCCATAATTTTTGTCTTCTGTTAAGATATGTACAGATGCACTGGTGAATGTGTAGTATACAGCTTTGCATGTGCAAGCCCTTGTTGCCTTAGCTGTTACTGTTACAGTCAAGCTTTTTGACTACTTGAAATATTTTGCATGCAAAAACCTTTCATTTTAATAAATATTTCTTAACTGTAACTGTGAAGTATTACGTGATTGTTTGCAGTAGTATCATATCACGAAATTTCTGAAGGGAAACTTGATTATATAAACCTAAGGATGCATTACTAGCCCTAAAATATCAATAAAATTCACTTTTCTTAGTCGTGAGCAGTCTTGACAGCAATTTCTTGTCGAAAAGGAAATAGAAAAATTACTTGGATGCTTCTGGTTAGTGCTATGGAATAATACTTCGGACCCTTTTGAGGCACCTTCTATCTTTAGCATCTGATTGTGGACTCCTGTGCTTTATTTCCTTCACTGGAATGGAAGAAATGAGGGTTTAGGTATGAACATATTGCAGTTATTCAAATTATCAGATTTAACCATGTAAGAATTTACTGAAATTCCTCTACACAATGAAGAAGACTTTCATAAGCACCCTAGAACCTAAATTCTGCAAGTGACATCACTAAGGAGTTTTGCTAGAAAACAAGCTTGGCAATATAACAGCAGATACAAAGCGTATCACTGTAACAGCGGGAAAACAATTTGAAAAAAGCCACTTAGTTTCACACATCTTACTGCATATGTGGTTGTAATTGTCAAGATCCTCTTTCATCTTACTTTCTTTTGCAATTACATTTTTAATACAACTCTAGGATTTTTTCAAAACAGAAATTATATTTGTACTTAATATATATCCATAGCATGTAAATAATTAACTGTTCTGGTAAGTCTCTCTTGCTTAATGTGGTTGTTTACACTGAAATTTAATGAGGAAGTGTATTTTGTAAAGAAAACTTTAGTAAGAAGAAATAAGTGATTCTACATTTTGCTGTGGGTAATGTCAAAATTAAAATTTCTGTATGACTTCTATTTTATCACAACTGTATGACTTGTAGCTAATAAGAAGTTAAGTTCCTAAATGCAGTGGAAGAAAGGCTAAAATGGCAGCTGTGTTTATTATACACTGGTTTTGTGTTCCAGCAGGTCTTTGTGATATTAATGAAGGTACAATGGTGCCAGAAGACCGCTGCAAATCGCCCACTTCAGGTAATCATAACTTTCTTTGATCTTCAGCTGCTTATTTGCCCAGAAGATGGCATGCTTTAGATCAACACTTACTAGTTAAGTAATTATATAAAACCTGTTGTCATCTTATAAACTGAGCTGTCCGAAATGTTGCTGTGTTGCACAACTGCATTTCTAAAAACAGGCTATTTAAGAGATGCGATGGGAATACGTCATAAAGATGAGTAAAGATAGATATAATCTGAAATATTTATGCTTCAGAGAACTGCACAATGGAGTTCTGAAACGTTGATAAGAGGTGCACAAATTCCTGTAATAGTTCATGTGATTGTGTTTCAGAGTCCTCAAAAGTGGTAAAGGTATATTTTCTGTAAAAAAGCTAGTTTGCTTCTGCTTCCTCACAAGTGGTAAATTACTATTTTTCTTTGGAATCAGAGGTCTTCAGAAACTGACATTGCTACAAAGTAGTAGTTTCCTACTTAACACTCCCCCCTCCTTTTTTTTAAGTTCTTTAAGTGTGCATGAATATTTTAAATGAAAGAAAGCTTCAGTAATATGTAATACCATCTCGTATTTTGTTTGTTGGCTAGTTGAGGCTATAGCTATGTAAATACTTAATAGTGCACCTCAATATACAGAATTAGAGATGAATATTTCATGTCATAGGTAAAAATTTGTTGCTTATCTTCAATATTATTCTGAGAACTTTTAAAGTAATATGTCACTTTATCTGTTTCATTCAAAGCTGTACTCAGAGCAAAGGACAAAATTGCAGGTTTACTCAAGTACCTAAAGTAGTATGTGCAGTCTTTGCAGTGTAGTGCAAAATGATAAACAATATTGAAATCTAAAGATTAGATTCCTTTTCTGTTGTAGCCTGTAACTTTCAAAGCCGGGTTGAAAACATAACAAAACAAAATACCCTGTTTGTAGCTCTAATAGAAATTCTAGCATAAATTTTAATTTCTGATTTGGCAACTGCTGTCTTCTGATGTTAATTTTAAATTGTGCAAAACTTATGTAGATCAGTCAATGTAATTTTCTTTTTTGCTAACCCTTTCTTAGAGTAAATTGGATTTATTTATAATTAAAGCAAAATTTGGCTGGAAATTTTAATTAAAAAGGCTTAACTGAAGATGTGATTTCGTGAGAAACCTGTGTAATGCTCAGTATTAGCATGCTGAAGTTGTCAACTTCAGCATCATTTTTAATGCATTTTTTGTGGTGTTTAGAATAAAGTGCATCTTTCCTATTTATAAATATCAAGACCAATGTCTGTAAACAACTTGCTGTGCAGTACTGTAGTTGCAGTAAATTACTTTCTCTGTCAAGATTGAGGAGAACTGTCGTTCTTACAAAGGTGTTTGAATTTGACCCACTTAAAAAATCCAGGCTAAGTCTAGTTTCTGATGGGCTACTATAAAATGTGTACAATGAACAGCTAATGAGTTGTGACCCTTAATCTGTGTCCTTTTTTCCCCTTGCTCCAGTATCACTCAAATGTCAGCCCAAAACACTTCCAACTGGTACTGCTAAAACTTAAAATAGTATTTAATTTTAATTAGAAGGTTTCTTTCATAATTCAGAGTTGGAGTAGAACTCAATTCACAATTTCCACTATCAGTGCAATGAAAGCAAGCCCAAAGATCAAAATCAAGGTTCATATGGAAAAATTCTAAATTTAACCATTTGCCTCACCTCCCTCCCTCCTGTCTGAATTGTTTTAGCTGAAGTAGGTTAAAAATGAATGCAATTTGGATATTTCTTTGAGAAGATCAAAAAAGGAGGCAACTGAGAATAGATGTATTCAAATGTCCTAGAAGGAAACAGAATTAGGGGGAAATTCCTAATCCCACAGAGGTAGAAATCAGTCTCCAATTTATGAGTTGACTATCTGAGAAGACTATGTTGTAGTTAGTTCATCTTAGAGTAAAATTTAGAAATCTGGAGAACTGAGTATTCTATGAAAAGAGTATATAATGTCTCAGGTACGCACACAAGTACTAAAGAGAAGTAAGTTTGAAGTACCAAAACCAGTGAATGAACGAAAGATGGAGGGGGAAAGCCACTGATGCATTTCCCTGTAAAACAGAATCTTGAAGTAGCGAGGTTGAACTGTGCCTTGCTTCCCTTGGTTCTGTCTGCTCCTCCCAGCTCTCAGTGAGTGAGATGAGGTTCATGGCAGGCTTCTCCAGTTTTCCTTTGAGAAAGGTACTCGAAGGGAGGCATTTCCCTGATACGGAAATCATTGGGTGATGTTTGTGAAGAGAGAAGAGCTGCAGTTCCTTAGGTTTGATTTAAGTTTTATATGTTTTTCTGAGCAAGAGCACAAGACCGGAAAGAAGCTTGAAAATGGCATTCAGTTTTCAGAGAGGTAAGGGAGGACATTTTGGAGAATCAGCTGCACAGTATTGGTGAGCTTGAGATGCAGGACTGAGGCCAGATTTAAACAAACTTTTTCCAGTCTAGAGGCTCTCTAGTTAAGAGGAAGACACATTAGCACAAAAAATTTCCTTGTTACTAGCTTTGAGATTGGAGGATGGAATTGGCAATTGAGTGCATTATTGGCTTTGCTGCAATATGATCTGTAAAGCAGACCAGCCACTGTTTTGGGCTGAAGTCTACATTTACTCAAGTGATCCAAATCTTCCACCTTTCCGTGCCCAAATGAAGTGGAAACTAACTTCCATTAGACTTCCTCCAGTGGGTAGTTGTACAGTTGAGAGGACTGTGAAAGGGACTACCTGCTTATGTAAGTTAGGAGAGCATCCTACAGTTTTAGTAATACGCAACTATAGAAACACTGTGAAAATGCAAAAGAAAGAATAACTTGTATCTCCTGCTTTTTCTACAGAAGTTATATGGTAATAAGTTTAGGGTCCGGGGGAATTTACCTGACCCATAAAATACTGTAAAGCATTGTAAACTGTCAAATTTTTGTGTTCGTGAGTGTCAAAATGTTTCCATTCTATTCTTATTTTACACTTCTACAATATAAAAATCCAATTAAATTCGGCATTTTTTTTTAGTTGAACTATGTTTTAATTTCATGACAATTGTAAGCCACCGTAAGGATTCAGAAAAATCCTTAATACTGAAATACAGGTGGCAGCATTGGCTCTGAGTTGTCTGCAGAATAGTTGAAGCACTGTGACCCAACAGTGAAT